AAAGAGTGTGATTTGGGTAAACGAAATCCACGTAACGTGACACCAGCTGAAGGGAAAATAGGGGGGCACTGATAATTAAAAGGCTGTTAAGGTTAGATGTGTGCATATGTTTGAACACTTAATTTGATGGCGTGTAATATAACGTACCGACGAGGAGGGCAGAGCAGCAGCACCCGGGTTGTGTGATACCCTAGGCCATCCCGTGGTTTGTCCCATGGACCGCGGGATGTTTGCTGGATGGAGGATTGGTGCTTTGCAAACTGGGAGCCCTGGAAAAGGTCACGACCAAACAGCAGATCTCAGTGCCCGCTGCGGTGCAATGCCCCGGCAAAGGGGCTGACCTTGGGAGCACGGTGAGCGTGCCTCGCAGCGGTATCGCCCTTCAGGATGGTAGGTTTTGGAGGAAACAAGCCTGCTAGAGGGAGGGCTGATGGTGGGGCTGGGCAAACACCTTCCAGTGGGAACTTAAAAGTGCAAACCGTTTAGCTTATCTAGAGGATTGACAAGTGACTTGATTGCGGTGTGTAAATATCTTTGTGGGAAACATACTGGTTACTAACGGACCTTTTACTGCTTTGGAGAAAATCGCTGGTTCTTTTTATGTCCTTACAATGAAGTCAGATAAAATCCACTTAGGACCAAGACCCGTGTTTTGTAAAAGGTGATAAACTCCTGAAACAGCCGGCTGAGGAAAGGGGTGGCTTTTCAGACCGCAGAAGTCCTCATGGGAGGTATACCTGAACAAACGAGGGGCACCGGGCTATGCGGGGGGGGGCTGTTTTAATCTAGGTGATTTAGTGATTTCTTCTGGTTTTAAACTTTCTGAAACTGCTGGTTTCAAGATACTGAGGGAAATTTTGCCCCTGGTTTGAGGGGCACCAAGCCCTTGGAAGGAGAAGATGATGGGGAGGTTGGGAGGTGGCTGGGCTACCAGGAGTTGGAGTCACCCATCCCCGGGATGAAGGACCCTTTGCAATGGACAAGGGTGGTGGCATCACTCAGACCAGGGGTTGTCTCACAAATCCCAGGAGAGCCTTGCTGGGTTCCTGCTTGAGAGGGATTTGTTTCTGTGCTAAGTCATCTGTGGTTGAAAAACAGATCCATTGTGAGTCGATGGAAAATAGATTATGTGAAATTGAATAAACATCGTTTCTTGGCCTGGGTACAGATGAGCCTGCACCGCTGTGCCAAAGCTGCTGCCAGAGGGGACAAGGCAAGGAGTGCTTGCCGGGAGGGGGAGAGGGTCGTGTTTGCTCTTCTCCACAGCCTTTATCGGCCATGGTCCCTCCCCAGCAGCACAAGGGGGTTCCAAAACCTGATGGCCACCAGTGTGGTTGGAGAAATGTCTATGGGAAAGCCCAGGCGTGAGCGGCCGGGGAGGGCGTGAGGCCCCGCTCGCACACCGCCTCTGCCTCTCCGGCACCTGGCTTTGGAAATCTGGCCTTATATGGGGCCCTGAGCGAAACAGCGAAAAGGGGACGGGTGCCAAAACTGGAGCGATAACATCTTAAAGAAGAACGCTCCCCCTTCAGGCCCCGGGAGGAAAGAGATGGGCTTCCATGCCCTCAGTTTTATCTTTTTTTTTTTTTTTTAACTCGGTACCTTATAAAGCCACGCGTGACCCTGGGGCAGTGCGGCAGCGAGGGATGCTCGGCACGGGGATGCGTTTATCATCAGGTGTCAGGGGGCTGTTTTGCAGCAGCCCGCTCTGTCCATAGGCTGCCACAGCTCACGCCTGCGTCTCCTGATCCAAGCGAACGAAGCGTGTCCTTAAAGAGCAACAGGCTATGGCTTTATTCCTGCTAAAAACTCCCATCTACACAGCAGCTGAAGGGGTGGAGGAGCCTGGGCTCTCTGCAAGCTGCTCGCTGGGCAGGATGCTTTGCACGGTGCGTCCCGGTGCCTTACCGAGCCGTCAGGTGAAGTGAGGGGTGAGGGTCCTGCGTGCCCAGGGATGTCTCCTCCAGCTCCTCCCGGGGCTGTCCTGGCAAGTCTGTCTGCAGTGACAGCGCGTTCGGCCACATGCGACCACAAGGCATCCTCAAGCTAGACATTAGCGTAACTACTACGAGAGCAGTGATTTTAATTGCCTGATGCCACAGCTGGTTGGGATAACTGGCAATGGTGACACTGGTCACAATCCTGCGTGCTTTTTTGACTGCTACTTTCCACCAAGCTCTGCTCACAGTGTCTCGTCAGAGGGAGTGAGGTGCATTTTCCTTATTTTCCGCCCTGATAACCCCACACCTGCACCACGAGCAGCTCCTCCCAAAATGCCCCTGCTTGCATTCCCCGCGCCAGCAAACTCGCTTGCTCCTGTCACTCCCAACTGTGCTACCATGTGCGATCGCCTGCATTAAATACCATCCTTTACTTCTCCCCCTGTGTTTAGGCACTGTGCTAGCTATAGCATATTGCAACAGCCGTGTTTGAACGTGTATTCTCCAGAGCCAAGGGGGAGCCGGGCTTTTCTGTGTGCATCATGCATCGTTTGCATCATGTCTCTCATCTAGGAGAAACACGAAGCAATACACTCCATTGCGAGCCAGCTAGCTGTGATGGGAAGCCTGCTGATTGATAAGCAAAATGTCTTTGTCTTGGGGTGGAAAAGAAAGGGTTATGAAATAATCAATATTTTTAAATTTGACCCATGCACGCAGAAGGCTTAGCAGAAACGTGAGCCCGTGTCCCAGGTCAGAAGCTTGTTATCAGGTCACCTCTGGTCACTGATGAGTTAAAGGCTTTCCACAGTGCTTCTTGCAGGTTTAAATGGGTGGCTGCCAAGACGAAACAGCTCCTGGCTTCTCGGTGCTGTTGCTAGCATCTGAGTTTATTAAACATGAATTTCAAAACTGTGAGGAACCTGTCACCATTTCCTATTTGCACTTCACTCTTCTTGGAAAGGGAAAGGAGACGGGCTTGTTTCTTAAAGCCGAACTGCTTAGTGTTTTATAGTCTTGGTCTCCCTTTCTGATTTTCCAGCACCAGCTATGTTTAGGTTTCCAGCACGGCAATGTTTAAAACTAAAACATGCTGTTTTCCCTGAAACAATACTGGGTTTTGTAACTTTCTTTTTAAACAAATCTGAAATGGTTTTGGCACAGATGCCTTGCCAGCCTCCTTCTAAACAAACCCTGAGACAGGAATATACGTGTATGCCTGCGAGAGGCACCTGGAAATGGTGGGGCTTTTCTTCTTGTCCTTCTGCTGCCTGAGCCCATCCTGTCTCCAAGCCCTCCAAGGGGGGCGATTAAGAGGAGAGGAAGGAAAACACCATGAATTTTTAAGTGATGTGAGCCTGGGTTCACCCAGGAAGACTCCAAATTGACACGAGCAGAGCAGTGTCTGTGCGAGGGTCAGCGATGGCCATGTGCTTTTGGCACAGCCGCTTTCACCGCTGCTCCAGGGCACACACATTGGGGTGGTGGTGGGGAAACAGGATCTGAATTTTCTTTGCCTTCCTCGTCCTTGCCAGCAAGCACCGGGGCTCCCACTGAGCCTGGCAAGGGCCTTGCTGCCTTTGGCTTCACCTCTGCGTGGGCAATGCAAGGAGGGTGCGAAGGGGAGGTGGGGGCTCGGCCGGCATCCCCGTACCCTACCGTGCTGGTTTTTCTCCTCCACCTCTTGTTCTCTCTCAGCGGGCTGTGGTGGGGAACGACGGGCTCCCAGGGCTGGGCATAGCCACACAGCAGTCAAGAAAGGGGTGGTTTTGGGTCCTGCTTCTTTCCAGGGGCATGGGGCACTGGTAAATGCTGCTCCCAGCACTGCTGCAGCCATGAGGATGGTGGGGTGGCCACTGGTTCTGCTGCGGGGTTGGTCATGGCGCAGATCCTGGTCTAACCACATCGACATGTGGCTGGGGCACAGCAGTCATGCCAGGGCTGGGTTTCCCCATGCCCATGAAGGAGGAAAAGGAAGGCAGACAGATTTTTGCACTGGTAGAGCTCGGTCTGGACACAACGCACAGTAATTCATGCAGCAGAGAGCTTTGAATGTCAAACCCTAAAAAAGCATTATAAACCCCATTGCACCTCCCCCCACATTAATGATTCTCCCCTATCCCTGCTAATGAATATGTCCCATTCTTCCACACCCTGGTTTTCCCCCAGGAGCATTAATCTAAAGGCTGGA